TGAATTTTTAATTGGCCCACTGCGACGATATGCCCGCTGAATTTAAATCGGGCATTAGCCTTCTGCCTGATTCCAACGGTATCCATGTCGAAAATTGGCCCTCTGCTGCCGCAATTGAATTATTTACGAGGGATTTGAAATAAGTAAATTGCGATGGAAGATTTTTTTACACACTTCCGGAATAACGTAAAAATATGCGTAAAATATTTTTGTCATGTTTATAAATTGGAAGTTATAGTGACATAGACCTAATGAAAGTAAAAAACAGTGCTGGAGCGTTAAAACAAATAATTTGTCGGATTAAATAACCTGTCACTAAAAAAACACGTTAAAACAAATAAAAATATCAATATATAATCACGCTTCAGAAGAAAAAAGTGCTATTAAATTATTTGCTTGCTTATTAATATCATTTGCAATAAATTGTTTCTTGATTTGTTCATTGATCTAGTGATTTTCTCAGGTATGAATGACTATTTTAAATATGATAAAAAATATGTATGCAGGTTGATCGTGTGACGATGAAAGGTATTTTGCCTCCCCCCATTTTTTAAAATATCCTAATGAATGAATTGATTGATTGGGATTAAATCAGATCACTTATAGTAAGCTCATATGTAAGAATGTTGATGTCTTGTTTCTGATTTTTCCAAGGGATAATTTTGGGAGTTAACCTTTTTAATAATTACTATGAGACCATACAATTCACATACGAAGTTTAAAATAGTGGCTCTATTCCCTATCTAGGCGTGGAAGTGTCAGAAGCCCAGCGGGCTCATTGATGACTTGGTGGGACCCAAAAGAATTGAACTCTGACAGATATAAAACTATAACTTCTCACTCTTTTGGTCAAAAACTGAAGCTACTAATTTGATACAAAGCCTCTGAGGAGAACATACTAGCGTTTGGAATTTTAAGGATTAACTACTCAAATACATTGGTTAATAGATTGTTAAATATTAATTTAAGGAAGTTAACAAATGGCAAAAAAACCGATAGAAATGTGAATAATCCTTTCACAAGAGTAAAACATACGTCCCTGTGATTCTGCCCAAATTAAAGATTTGATAAAGAAATATACAGCCGACATCAATTTTTGGTACAAACACAACAATTCAATGAGCTCTTTACATTATAAACCCAAAGATAAGGTAGAAAAGATTCTTTGGATTCAAAATTTTGGGCATTTGAAAATGGACAATGGTCAAACAAAACAGAGAATAAAAAATAGAATTTATGGTCATGTTTCTGATTGTTGTAATAAATCCAGAAATGGTATCGCACTATCAATACATCCAATATCAAGAAGGCGTACATTTGATTTTTCGAATGTTCAAATAATTGACAAAGAATCTCAATTACTCAGCAGAAGAATAAAAGAGGTTCTACATACTAAAATGAAAACAATAATTGTAACATTCAAACCGATACTATAGACTTAAGTTTGATTTATAAAGGTCTTATCAATTTTAAAAGTGACCTTTGATAACAAAAGTAGGACCTCCGGGATAAGGTTCAATTACAGTCCTTGGCAATGTTGGGACTGAGTTCAAGGAAATTGGAGATCGCCTGTAAAAACTTAAATATATCAATCTACATATTTAAGGTTCTTTTGCAAATTCTGTACAGATATATTGATTGACAAATGTTTTTCATAAAGTGAAATTAATATGTCCCCTGGCGATGACCTTAAAATAGGTCGACGCAAGACAGAAGTAACTAAATTTGCTTTCTTCTTCTAGACTATATCTTGATCCAGTGTTCATAGGTAAATTGGTGGTCGATACTAAATTATTGTTTCATAGAAATTTGAAAATAATTAAACCAAAAATCTGAATTGGCAAAGATTGCGATAAATTCTCTCTGGTGACAAAGTTGTGCCTTGGAGTGGCAAGGTTGCCATAATCAGGGCGATCATCTGAGCTATTTTGTGCTACAGGACCCATGTGGGTTATGAGGAGTGCACGGGAGCGGAAGGCCTGTTGTATAAGTTTATTCGAAAACTTTTTTATTTGCTTCGTTACACGCATTATATCTTCCACCTTGAAACTGATTTGAACAACTTACACGTTGAGTGTACACCTAATGTTCATGGTAAACGTGGCTTCCATGCCTGGCAACCGCCTTCCAACAAAGTTGACAGTATGTATAAAGAAGAAGTATACAACTGCGCGTCAAAACGACCAATAGATTTAAGTTGAACAGGAGGATGACAACCAGAGGCCTGGGAAACTATACAGGAGTGGATGTAGCGAGGTGGATCTTAGGCTTGAGGGTAGAATCGCTAAAACTCAATGCCCTCTTGGTATGGGGTGCGAGTCTACCCAGGCATTTAACCAACCCCTTGGGTCTTGGTCGCCCACCCTGCATAATATATATATCTTAATGCCCGTACGACGAAGATAGAGACAGGCAGGCAAAATCCTCGATGTGGGGCAGGAATGAAGAGGAGGACACTTTCCATGTCCTCTGCGTGCACCTGGACTTTAATGAATTTAGAAAGGCAATACTGAGAAAAACACGATTGACACATAATTAGACGATCGGCCAGCTGTATTATCAGATAGGCAGAGCAGCCTAGGAATATCAATGAATTTTAGTTGGAGAATTCAATTTTTAATTTACTGTTTTGATACAAGAGATTTAATTTATTTGACTTCGACCTTTCATTTCTGTCCAGTTTTCCTAAGACCTAAACTTCCGGCAGACAGCTATGCTGTATTGTTTATTTTACACAGACAAACAAACGCATAATATTGTTCAATTTTTTTGCCTTCTCTCTTCTTTTCTTCTTCTTCAAAAAAATAATTGTTTTATTTTTAAAGAGTACCCGTTTAATTAGCCGGGTTGGTTGGTCTACGAGTAAATTCAATATTGATATTGATGGCACTGCTCACTTTTCTGGGTCGAACAGTTATAAATTATCCTTTTGCCCTGTTCCTTTATTAACTATCCTCACTGCTTTATTTACGCAAATTGTGGTATTTTATTTGTTTTATTAGATTAATTACCTATTGATTTCTGTAATATTGGTCATAGATTAGTTTGTAGGTTAACAGATGGTTTCGATTAATTAACGTGTAATTATTTCATAACTGTTATCGGTACATTGATTGAAACTTGCTCGATTTCAAATTAATTAACAGTGTTTGCTTTACGGCGTTGTGTTGAAAGAAAGGAGGAGGTTCTTTACGGAAACAATCTTCCTAACTCTTGAGTAATTGTTCAAATGTTTTCATCCGTAAATTGCCTCAGACGAACAAACTGCCAAGATTTAATTAATTCAAGGTATTTTATTGCCACCGATTCCGTTGTAGACGGATTATTTTCTATATGTACGTTCACGCTTAATAAACGGAAAATTCTTCAGTTGATGGAGCATCGAAAGAAAGATCGTAATGATTTTCACTTAGTCATTATTAAAAAATTAATTAATAAAAAGCTTTCAAAGTACGATCTTTATCAAATTGTTTTCACATTCTATTATAATTTTAGATTAATTAAAAATGCATTATACAGGGTGTCCTTTATAGATGCCCTGGCTGAATTTGTCTTGAACAGATAACGTTATCGAAAATCCCAAAAATACGTAGTTAATATTTTTTCGTTTAGTTTTAAATTTGTACTTCTTTTTGTTAATATTTGTTGTCAGGATACTTCAGAGCTTGTAAAACTTTGAAATTTCAAATGAGAACGTATACTTTTTTTAAGGACTGTTTTAACGGATTTTTACACTGAAAACGATAGCTCAAAAAGATTTGAAATTAGTGAAAGGGGGTCTTCCTATGCCCACTTCGATTGAGAATACCATTTGTGGTGCACTTGGATTCATCAGTCCAGAGAGAGGACTTATGAGAGAATATTTTCTTCATTGTTCAAAATCGATCTATCCCAACATCTCTGAAAGAAACATTAACCGTCTATAAAAGTCAGTGTCCCGAAAGCCCCTGGATCAGAAGAAAACGATATGGCTTAAAATTGTATATTCTGAGGACATCTCTCGTTCTTTGAAAACCCCAAAACCTTTCCGGTCTTTCTCAGGGAGGGTATTTTTGAGAACCTACGACAAAATGTTTATTTCTTCGTCAAAATGATGTGACTTTGATGGGTCTCCAAATGATCCACATCTCCTCATATTGTTTGCAACACGAATCTGTGGTCCAACTGGGAGCGAATGGAAAATTTCTGGGGGCACAACTCGACTTCACGAAGAATAATTTCGCGCTTTCAATTAAACTATCCTACATGTCAATGTTTACCAATTGAATGAACCAATTGAAATAATCAGAAAGCATCCAAAACAAAAATATACAATCTAAGAGTAAGATACAATAATTCATTACTATCAATACAATAAATTGTAAAGACCAAGAAGTTTGGGTGAAAAGTTAATACCAAATTATCGGTATCATGCAGGAAATTGTATTTGAATTTCAAGTGGTGGGTAGCATATCCAATAAGTGTACAGGATAAAAAATATATTTTCAAATAATTAATCTTTAAGTAAGGTATTGGTTGAGATAAAAAGTCAGTGCCACGAGCGGGATTCGAACCCACGACCTTCGGCTAAATACGCCGCTGCTCTACCACTTGAGCTATCGTGACATCGATCCACTCGGACACCAACTTCCCATCTCAACACCACCTTTTGAATTTTCCCTCCTTTTTTGCCATTTTTCAAATGCCGTGTAATCTATTTGATTCTCGGCAACAAATTAAATGGCCACTGAGAGCTTTAGTGAAGTATTCTATTTTACTTATTAAATCGATTAGGTTTCGTGGTCCGTTTGATCAAATCAATTCTTTTTAATTAATTAATCTTTAAGTAAGGTATTGGTTGAGATGAAAAAGTCAATGTCAGACCCGCTGCAACTACTCGACTAGTGGGTCTCCAAATATTCATTAACTAAACGCAAAATTGTTATTTGTATTTTGTGTTTTATTTATCTTATTTCTTATTTATTTATTATGAAATAGCAATAAGTACTTATATGTTTCAGGTATGGCCATGTCTGTTCAATTCACCGTGCTTCCGATGTACCTCGGCGAGATATCGGGCCCGAAACTGCGCGGTGCGCTCAGCTCCTTCTTCCAGGGCATGTGGTACCTCGGGGTCCTTTATGAATATTCCGTCGGAGCTTTCTTCGACTACGAAGGACTAACGTGGTTTTCAATCGCCCCACCCGTGGTAAGTACCTGTTATCAAAATAACAGCTCGTCCAAATTTTTTACCATTCGAAGGGATATTTAAACATAAGCCTTCGCAGCTTTACACAGAACTAAGTAGACAGTAAGTACTAGCGTCTGTCGGACCCCCTTTCCTTGTGTGCATATCTCAACGATTTGACTTGCAAACGGTGTTAAATCTAAGGCGGAACATCGCAGCGTATGCTAACTCGACGTGGCCCCTGTACGAATCCTTGTCGGCTGGAACGCGACGGCAAACAACATCTTGCCGACAAACCGTCTTACTTCCTTCTGTGCCAATGCAAAATGGTTTGTGTACAAACCTACGATAAAGTTTCAAAAAAATTCCCATAATTTCTGGAAAATGTAATCTATTTGTTCTGAATCACCTAATTACGCAGCATGTGAGTTTTAAAGAACAACACGCGTATTGTGCCAAAGGTCATAAATTAATCCCCTTCGTGACACTAACTTTTCATCTCAACCAAAAACCTTAGATTCAAAAAATAATAATCAAATGGAAGAATTAATAGGTCAATTATGACCACTAAGCAAATAGGGATTAATTTAATAATTAAAATAAGTAATTACTTCACTAACAGCTCCCCGTGGTACTTCATAAGTGGCTGAGAATCTCTCATGATAACACGACATTTGAAAATATGGCAAAAAGAGGGAAAATTTGATCGGTTGTAGGTTGAGATGAGCAGTTGATATCCGAGGGGATCGAAGTCACGATAGCTCAAGTGGTTAGAGCTGCGGCGTATTGTGCCGAAGGTCGTGGGTTCGAATCCCGCTCGTGACACTAATTTTTCATCTCAATCAGAAGCCTTAAATAAAAAAAGGATAATTAATTGGAATAATTAATATCAATTAGCAACACAATACTCAATATTTTCAGATAAACTATACACTATAGTATCTAATCATCAGTGAACGGTAATACGTATAACTTCACAAGAACATGAAAGAATGGAGCTTTTTTTAATAAAAATGAAAAACTACACATCCCATATCATGCACGATTTCTTTTAAAATATATTGAACCAAAGATCCAAAGCAAAGGTAGCTGTCAACTATCAAAACCCTTGAATATTAATCAGCTCTATTACTTTTCTTTTTTCTTTTTTTTCTATCAAAACACACTGAGATTATTACCATTTATTCTCAATGAATAGCACAACACTTGCACAACACAGCCCCATTCTACTTCCAAAACTGTACATATTCGGGGGACCTCGGTGGCCTAGGGTTAGAGGTCCGACTTGTATACGCTAGTGGTGCTTTGTTCGAATCCCGGCATGACCCACGGATTTTTGTTGCGAATAATAAAAGAAATGATTTTAAAGTCGTTTTTGACGCCTTATTAGCCCTTCTCAATGGGTAGTTGGTTGTTAAGCTTTCTTGTTTGTCAGGAATTACTTTTTTGCTTTACTGTACTTATTCTTATTTTTTAAATTAAGAATCAATTAGATGACGTAGTCTGTTAAGAATGGGCTATTTGGACATCGAATTCTGAACTTGTAAGAATGTAAAAAAAACTATCAAACCATTTATATAAAATAAAACACTGAATATGGTTTTTCAGACCGAAATGCCTATTGTGGAAAAGACAATTTAATTCCTACCCTTCATCTTATTATGGAATTCCACAAAATCAGTATAGATACCAGCAAAAAATTAAGAATCAATTCTTTCTTGTAGTCTTTGCTTGATTGTTTGTTCTTTTTTTGTGACGATCAATAGCGTAGGAAGCGTGAATAGTGAAACACAGCTTTCGAAAACACGAAAGCTGCACTTAACTAATGCCCTGAGTTTAGCCGGGTCTACGAAAGTTCGGCACTAAATCAATTTAGATTTTCTCCTTCAGGTCCCACCGCCTCCTAGGCAAATCCGGGCCAGGGAAAAAATTGCGAGACTCGGGCCCGACATAAATGTCTAATTTGACATTTTTATGTTCGAAAGATAACGCGAAAGACAAATGGGCTGTGTGTTGAGACTGCGATTGAATTTTCCGTGCATAAATCCTTTGCCGTTCGGATAGCGTCAGCCCCCAATGGTACATCTAATAGACTTCCCAAGAGTCCCATAACTCGGCTCGTGTCCAGGGCATACCATTAATAGAGTCCGTCATATGGTGAATTACGGCATCACGCTGGTTACAGGATAACATTTTATGCTTTGTTTCTTTTTTTATGTACACTACATTCTCTGGCATTTATACTCTGAAAAAATGGATCTCTTCAGTCTTCAATATAAATTTTAATACAATAAAAACAAAATCTAATATATACAAGGTGAAAGGCATAAAATGTCCGACCTACTTTTCTCATAAACTCGCCCGACATCTACGTTTATGTACTGAGACGATCCTTATTGTTTAGTAGTTTTCAAATTTACAGGGGTAGCGTGCTTTCTTATCCCCCCCCCAAAAAAAAAACCGTCAGGTCACGTCCATTCCGAGGAACACACACGGTCGTTCAAGTTTTTAAGAGTACCCTTGCTGCTTTGTAGCTGGTGTTTGCGGCTTGCTCCATTTGTGTAAAGATCCCTCCAGCGAGTCTGCAGTCTAAGCGGGATGAGCCCCCTTCTTATATATAAGAGTGCTGCATGCATTTGACTGTTGCTTGAAAGGCGAAACCATTGAACTCGTAGTCCCACCTAGTGGAAACTTTAGTTAGCCTAGGCACTCCTCACATGCTCTTCCAATGTTTGAGTCTGTCCAAACAGTAGGGCAATGAATCGAAAAATTGCGCGTTCCCTAAACGTTCGCAGAAACAAATATTTCTGGGTTACCACTTTACTTGCTACCAATTTTTCGTATCCCGGGTTCCAGGGTTCTTAGTAGGCGCTGGTTTTGTAGCTGTTGCACTGTGTTGTACCGTGAAAGACTGTGGAAAAAGTAGATGAGTCGGATGAACTAGGCCGATGTCGGTAGTGAGTGTAGGGTAGCCTCGTCGGCTGTCGAATGTTTGGCTAGCTCCAATACTGTTGAGATCTCATTGACGGGTCTGCTCTAAGCAGGTTGAGCTCCTTATATATAAGGGTGGCCTGCCCTTAGCAGATCTTTAGGTAAGCACAGGCAGTCAGGGGAGTGAAGGGAAGGTTGACGTTGCAAAGTCATCTAAATTCCTGGTTAGTCCATCCCTAAGTCTAGTGACAGACATACTGAAGATGACGTAACGCGTTAGGCGAGGTTAGTCTTTATCATCTATCTAAGATGATTAATAAGCATCATATTATCCATTATCTTATTATCAACATCTATCTTACAATTCACCTAGGACCGCAGTGGCAAAGTAGTCAGGACGTTTGACTCGTATTTATCACGTTAGGGGTTCTGTGTTCGAATCCTCATGGAATTTTAATTGAAAACAAGTATAAAAAAGTAATGTGGTTTGATCCTTTGTCCAGGACACCCAACGGCTCGTTTGACATTAAAGTAAAGTAAGACTTGTCATACAGGAGGGCATAACGTCCAATTGCCCTAGGGTGTAGCAGACTGACCGCTCGTTTTTCAAAGCTGGCTCAGAAAGTAGAGATCGTCTGATTGAGGAAAAACGTACCCGGTGTACATTTACGTTGTAAAAAGAGTCCTCTCCACTGTACATCAACAAAAAGAAGCTAAAGGCTCCACTGAAGTCAGATGGAGTTATACCTAGACAGCAGGTGACTTGAAATCCAAATACAAGACGTAAGAGAAAACAACATTAAAAAAATAGTGAGCTGCAAATAGGAGGGCCTAACCAACTACCCAAAGGCTGTCAGAGACGAGGGGTAAAGCTTTTATTTCATATTTTTCTTAATGAAAAAGCCATGGGCAATGCTGGTGGTTAAACTCAGGACCGATAGCGTAGTAAATACGGGTCGGGGACTCAAACCCTCGGCCACAGCGGTCCCTTAAACGTTAGCTAAGCTGGGTATACTTAAAAAATCACCTGGTGCCAAAACCTGGTTCATTAAGATCCAGTTAAATGCATGGAATCACACTTAAGCCCTACAATTTTTCACCTTTTAGTTTTATCAGTTTGATTTTTTTTATTATCATGTTTATATGCCCGCAGATATTCGTCGTGCTTTTCTTGTGGTGTCCAGAGTCGCCGTACTATCTAGTTATGAAAGGGCGACAGGAGGAAGCGGCCAAGGCGTTGAGTTGGCTACGCGCTACGACCCCCGACTCGCCCGAACTACTCCAGGAGTTGCAGCAGATGCAGACATCCATCCAGGAAGAGAAAGAACAGAAAGGAAACTGGCGGGACATCCTCGGTACCAGGGAAGGTCGCAAAGCGTTGTTCTTAGTGCAAACCGTCGCCGTCACCGAAATCATGAGCGGACTCACGACCATAATCGTTTACGTGTCGGAGACCTTCGCGAGGACGAGCGGCGACCCTCACATGGCCGACGTGTTCACCATAGTCTTGGGAGGTTTACTCTTTTTGGTAACTTTGGTGACCGCTGTCCTGGTGGACAAAGTCGGCAGAAGACCGTTGATTCTCATCTCTTCGTTCGGGGGTTCAGCCTGTCTCTTCTTAGCCGCTCTCTACTACATCCTAGACGAACTCCCTAGTGTAGACACTTCTACGATCCAATGGCTCCCTTACATCGCCATCATCGGCTTCATGTGCTTGATATCTCTTGGAGTCGGGGCTCTCCTGCCCGCCCTACAAAGCGAGTTCTTCCCCAACAGCACGAGAGGTATCGCTTCAGGCATAACTATACTCAACATAACACTTATGTCGTTCATGTGTCTGAAACTCTACCAAGTTATCGAAGACAGCGTCGGACTGTACTTAAACTATTGCCTGTTTTTTATATCGTCGCTCATTGGCTCCGTGTTGATCTTCTTCTTCCTTCCCGAAACCAAAGGAAAAACCTTTGCCGAAATACAGAAAATGATGTAAATTTTGTCTTAATTTTAATGAAGTCAAGACTGTAATGTTGTATTTAAAAAACTTATTGCGTATTTTTACAGTGCAAATATTGTATTTAATAGATTGGTTAATTATAACTTTTAAGTATATTAACTATATAGTTCTATTTTGATCCATTTCCATCGCTCTAGTTAAAATTGACCACAATCTTAAAACAATCAACTAAAAATTACTGCTTCTTTCATATTTCGAAGTTTATTAGTCAGTGCATAAATTTTATTCTGTCTTGAGATTTATATTTTCACCAAAACCGCAAGGTTCAATGCGTTAAACGAGAACCAAAATGTGCGCAAATACTTCCAACATTTGCTCCATTTTCAACAAACCTACAACGTTCTGTTTGTTCAAAACTTTATGTCTGTTTATATATTTTTTCAGTAATAATAATCCTTAATTAAAATTCCTCCTCTCGGCATATTCAAGCTAGCCCATACAAATTATATCCCAGGACACAAAGGGCCGTTCGGACAATGGAACTCCCCCCCCCGGGACAAAATGGGAGGTTTAACAATTACACCAAGATATAATACGTAGCGTATGTAGCTAATTGAGGGAGCTCTAGTAGTAAATTCTCATTAAGGGCTCCACGCCATACTTCAACCCTTTCCCCGGTGGGGCAGAGGGGTTTTATACGAGAGACAAAGGATTAACGCGAAATGCGTGGACGCCAGAAGTAGATAATCGCCCTGCGGTGGAAAGTGCCAGGGGCAAATTTCCGGAAAGATTCGATGGAAACCCGGTCATCACTCGTGCCATAGAAAAGTCTTTATTAGAAATTTTAAGATCTGCGGGTTTTTAAATCTTAATTTTTCATCAAAGACTTATTTTTTTTAACGAGGGTATTTCAACTACGAAGTTATTTGAACCATCGGGGTGCCGGTGTTTTTGAAAAAAAGCCGATTTGTATGCATGTCGGGTTTGAATGCAGGGCCGCTGGATTCGAACCCGGGACCTTTACCTTACAGTGACGCCTAAACCGTTGCGGCCACCGACGCTCCTCAAAGTCTTATTTTCCCGTTACAGAACTCATTGTCAACCATGTGCATCTTGAAAAGACAGTTTGGGCGAATTTTCTTTGTTAATTTTGTTTGCGTTCTGTTCAACAGTATCATCGAATTGTGTACGTCATCGCATTCTCTTTTGATAAGAAACAATTCTGCTTGGAAGCCTATCCCTTTAGTAGCTCTGGAAACTCCATGGCATTTCCCTATACATACTATTTCATCCTAAAACCACTAATATGGCAATTAATATGTTACATTCTTATAGCAAAATGCTATTTAATATATTTTAGCCCCTTAGATTTATACTAGATAATATACGGTAGGAAATGTATTGCAATAAATAAAAGCGTTCTAAAACTGTCCAACGGCCGTCTCATCCATGACGAGTCGGTTTTGACATTCGTCTCTCAATTCCCTCGATTTTACATCATTACACAATAACGATGTCATGTCAGAATAGAATGACAAATGTTCAATACTTTTTATAAATTTAAAATATCATGGTTGACTTTTACAGTATATGTTTTTTTATTAGAAGTTATCGATATTCCATGAACGCTGGTTAAAACAGTTTTAATGATTTATAGCAATATTGAGTTTAATTTAAAGTTATAATGAAAATGGTTTTTTATTGAATTTAATATAAAGGGCTTAGTCTTAAGTTTAGCGGCTGTCAAATCTACCCTCAGGATGGCCAGGACGAACAATTCGCTCTCAATGTTATTTTTATTATTTTTTTAAGTAAAGAAAAATACGTAATTATATATAAGAATTACCTAGTAATCTAAAACAGTTGTACTTGAAGAGAGTACTACAAATAGTTTACTTGTGACACAGGATGTTCATAGAGAAATGCAATGCCTAAAAAATATATTTTTTTGATTAAACAGTGCCACTTCATTCGTAAAAATCAAAAGTTAAACTACTGCTGGTTTCTGCGGTTCATACATGATTTCAATTAATCGTCGTAATAAACTAACAGTATTTCGAGGCGGTTTTAAAGTAAAACTCTTGATAATAAAAAAAAATCGCACACGCCTTAAATAAGGCACATTCCGTGGTAAAAGTAAAAGAAACGGCTCTGTTCAAATATTCCGTTCAAACAGCTTTACAGGATTAGCCCGTGTTTGAAGAGGGCAAACGTTCCTTACGATTTCAAACAGGAAAATCCCGGAGATGATCCCTTTCCTCGGCAAGATAATAACCGAGCAAAGGGACGGAAATGGACAAATATTCCATCACCTTGAGGAAAATTCCACAAGCCGAACTATTTTACAATAAGACGTTAGTACGATTGTCTGATTGATGACAACTTTTCTTTTGAATAAAAAATCATATGTGAATAATAACAGTTGACAGTCCGGAGGAATATCGAGTACTCTGGGGGAGTGATCGTGACCGGACTTTTATGTATCGGGTGTTGTGTTTATATTAAGTTATTGGAATGAATGTAATTTATTACCATGAAAGGAGGTGATTGTTTGACCTCTCTCTGAGGAATACTGAGTACTTTGTAGTGAGTAAAACGTCTGGAGAGTAGGTTGCTAACAAGAATGGAGTGGGTTCGACCACGCGCCGAGAAATATCTAGTATTCTGTGAGGATGAATGTGACCATATTTTATGTACGTATCTCGGGTGATGATACGATATGTATTAGCGACGCCAGGCCTGCGACTCGAAGTACTCTGCCGTGGTTTGGTATTCTCAACTGGAGGGCTCTCCTAGTGTCCTCCTGGGTGTCGATTTGCCGCCGCTAGGGTTCCGGCAATGAAGGCTTCTGTAAGTCTTTTCTGGTAGGTCGTCAGATGCGCTCGTCTGTCTGTGTATATTTTATATTTTCGATTCTTTTTGATAGTTGACAACCCGACGTACAAACGAGAGGCTAAGATTTTGGGCTATTGGGCTAGTATACAGACCGAGAGATCCAAATGGCTCCAGGTTAAAACTGTTCACGCGAACAACTAGAAAAAGAAGTAAAAACACGCAGAGAGTCAGCACTGACGCCACTGTTTGTTGGCCCATAAACCTCCCACATTATACAGGGTGTCCTTTTTAGATGGCCCGGCTGAATTCCTCTTGAACAAATGACGCTGTCCAAAAATAATCCAATAATTTGCTTCTTCACTAAAGTAAACATTAATTGCCTTTATTGTTTGTCAAACTCACATTTCGAGAGCAAATCTTAATTCATGGAAATAAGTAAATTTCACAATCTATTCGTTACATTCAGTATTCCATTCAAAATGAACCGAAGAGCATTTCCGATCAACAGCGAGTTGATATGTACAACTGCTTTATTGAAAGTGGTGGTATTGCGCGGCGTGCAGTCGAGTTGAACTCCCAGAAATTTTCTGGTCGCTCCAGAATAAACCACAAAAATTGTATTCGTGTTGCAATATGCGGAAATACGAATCAGTTCCTGTTCCATAACCAAGAAACCGGGAGCGTAATTTAGACTAGGAGCTGAATATTTTACTGTATGTTCGCGAAAATCCGAATTCCCCTCTCCGAAATGTCGGAAGGGTTTTAGGTTGTTTTTCAAAAATAAAATTAGAGAATACGGACTTACAATTTATGCCGTATAGCTCTCATTTCGTCCAGGGACTTCGGAATTGATTATGACAGGCGTCTAAGTTCCTTGCATAAATGTCGATTTGGGAGGCTGAAGAAAAATAAATACGAGTGTGATAAACAATGACCGAGTGTAAACAATAAAGGCAATTAATGTTTAGTTTAGTGAAGAAGCAAAGTATTGGAATTAACGATTAAACAAACGATATGCGATTTTTCAAACATTTTGCCATAACTAGGGTCGTCTTTGAAATTTTGAAGCTGAACCCCTGTATAATTGAAGTTGCCCTGTATAATTTTTCTCCAAAAAAAGGTAAAAATTTGAAATTATACTCAAGAATATTAAACACTTTTTTTAAAGCGTCATTGGTTCAAGAAGGAATTCAGCCGGGACATCTAAAAAGCACATGCAGATGTATATGCGCAGGCAATAAGTTTAGATGTTTAATGAAATGACTAGGGAAATAGTTAAAATATAACGATATTTCTATATGACAAAACATTTACCAAATGCTAGACCCTCCATCAAGCGCTTAGTCCTTTAATCGGCCCCTGTTTAGTAAGTTGGTCAAAGCAAAGCTGCAATCTTTTTCTTTTGCCCTTTTGTCGGTTTTCTGTTGTTGCTTCCACTCCGGTATCACAATGGCTTCTCAGCGTCACTTTTTATCTCCAGTTAGCGCGAATTCTTCAAAAAACCGTAAACTGAAGATGTTTTAAATGACGCTATTTATATAGTGCGGTATGAAACGTTCGATAAATTGGCTGAAGCACAGAATGCCACTGATCATTTTTCATTAAATTTCATTTTTGACTAACTGCCTATTGCCATATTGGAACTTAATGAAGAATCTAGACTTATGATGAAATGTCTAGGCACTTAATAAAGGGACTAGTCTACTATCAGCAATTTGAAATTTGAGTAAATGATTGGCATTTGAGAAAATTACCAATGTTACTATACACAATCGAATATTACAAGACTTACAAGTAGTACAAAATAAATTCTAGAGGCTTCCTACCAACTCAGGAATTTCAAACTGACTAGGTTACAAGGAATTACGAGTATGGTTTGAATAAAGAAGGCAATCCGTAGAGAAAACTGGGTACCTCCAAAAACTGGATATTTAGGTCTTTTGGTGCCTATTATTCATAAGCCTTCACCATTATAAACCATTGATTTTGTTCATTTCTGCCCTTGGTTGCTATCTCTACATATTTTTTCTTAATACGTAGAGACAATGAGAGGGTAGGCATGGTCATCGTGCCACAAAAAAAATTCATAAAAATGGATCTTTAATGAGTTCAAAACTTCCCCAGGTAAAAGGCACGTGGAGAGTTTCATAGAAGGGCCATCCTCAAAACTTACAAAAGACTTACTGGAAGGCAACAAATATAGAATTCTCCATCACAGAATGATCGAAACAAAATAAAAGGAGAAGTGCATAGACTCTAGCGGAGCTAGACGCAGTAAACTTATGATGAAACAATCCT